GTTTGAACTTTACTTCGAGACGAAATTCTCCTTGAATTTTAAGTCCGATCCTATTAAAAGTTTGTGGAAGTATTAGAAATTCGAATGAGGGGCGAAAAGCTATCACGCCATTTTTTCCGGAGCTCCCCGCTTCCTAACAGCGGGAGAGAAGGTGGGGAAACGGGCCCGAGACTGGGATCGCGAGATTATGCTTCGCTATCTGTTTTGAATTCGTAATTTCAATATAATTAATTCGGAATTTTCAAACTAATTCATTTAAAAAGTTATTAACTGCTTCTAAACGTCCGCTTATAAATAGACGGAACTGCTGTAACTTAACAACAATTTTATTGCACACAGTAAAACACTTTAACGATTCAACAAATTACCATTTACATTAAAAAATAATTTTCACAAGTCTCCAAAGCGACACTGTATAGAATGCCGCAATATTTAGAACACATTTAATATTTTGTAGTTTTATTTTGACAGCGTTGACTAATGCGGTCGTTTATTTTTATAGCTGGTTTATTTAGAGACGCGCGTGTTTCTACAAGGAGGTGGGCACCGACGGACTATTATTACTTGCCGACACGACATCAGTCATCGCGTTAATATCTCACTGATTATTATCCATTCTATATGTAACGTTGTTTTGACAGGTTGCCAGTGTAATAACAGTGACAGGCAGCCTCACTTTGAAACCATACATTGGCTAAATTACTGAACTATATACTATTAATTTTAATTAATGTCTGAGTATTTATAAATTATGTTGGAATAGTATGGGCAAGCACTATTTAATTTTAGGGTATTGATTTAATTTAATCAATCAATCATTATGAACGTTCAGTGAGACATCTCTATAGCTGCTTTACTTTTTCTGTACAATTTACAATGTTATAAGTCACTGCCATATTGTTTGTCTTATTCGTCAATGTGATAAACATCGCTGTTCCAATTTCATCAATCAGATTAACCACTAACATACAGTTTAAATATTAATATTACCAAACTATGATTTTCACTTTTAAATACATAAATTGAAGTGTTGTATTTCGCATTTTTGTATATCATCCATATACCACCTAGCTAATAACTCCTTTGTGTAAAAGATTACTTCATTCATTATATCAAAGAAAATATTGTGTTTATGGTGACAGTAGTCGTCTGTTGTAACAAAAAAACGTAGACAATCTCCGCGGTACCTTTGAATGTCTTTCATACGGGATGAACGGACGCGCGCGCCGCACGCGCGGCCCATACTTGATTTATCACTCCATTGTTGCGGAGCGACGACCCACCCCCGCCGGATAAGGCTAAACATTCAATTGCCGGAACGCTCCCGAAACGATTTGTTCCTTCAATAAGATCGATTGACTATTTTTTCCGTCCACTTCTGCATTTAGTAGCCTCTGAAAATCTGAAGCTTTCTCTTCCGTAATGTAATTTTATACAATGACGTAAAAATGTTTTTGTCTTCGATTTTGTTATAGTCTTATTTACAATATTATTGGTATACATAAAATAAAGTAAGATAATGAATTGTTTATCATATTGTAGTATTTTTCACTTTATACAACATTAAAGAATAAAGTTTGTTCTGGATTAGTCTGAAGCAATGAGTTTACATTATTGTTTTTATGCAACCTGAAATAACGAACATGCTGATGCCTATCATGTAAATTATAATCATTCAAAGGCTAATCTGCTCTGATGAATCAAGAGCTACTCTGACATTTAGAGCTATGACTCTTATATTCTCCTGAAAATACATAAGTTACCATATACTATCTGATGGCCATTCTTAGTAATAGAAAATGTAATAATGACTTAATTTCAATAAATATATTGTCACAGCGTTACATAACTTCATTGATCAGCACCACATAGGCAGAGCAACAGCTGTGGCTTATTTTGTAATACTATTGTACTACCTGTGTTACATGTAACTATGTTATCTAATCTCATTAATTATTTAATGAGTGTACAATACAAACTCATTATCAAGTATGAGTCATTTATGTTCGTGTTTTTTTTTATTTGTTTATATCTGAGGCATCTCACCAATATCTTGTAGATTTTTCTTCACCTCGTATCCATGCACCTACGTAAGTACATGTTGTAAAACATGCTTGCATAAGAATTATTACAACGTTGTTCTATTTTGTAATGTTTTATCGATGTTTATTTTAAAAATATCTATAAATGTAGGAATACGATATACATTTTTTTAAACATTATTGCCTTAACTAATAATAACTTTTACACAAACAACAGTTATTTGTACGAAATGCGAAACTCGTGGTCTTAACGTCCATAAACAACAATGTTAGTATATTCGTGTAAACTGTCTGATAGTGTTAAACATGTATAATGTTTAAAATGCGTTAAACAAAACTATGTAAACGGAATGGCCAATACGTAAATATAGGCACCAAATTAAATATACCAATTGATGCGATAAATGTAAAATAAGTGAGGTTACTCAGATTGCAGAGACAATGCCTTCTTAAACTGTGCTGCTCGTAAACGGTGCGGTTACCCGGCTAGTTTTATTGAGCCATTCTCCGCTCGCTCGTAAATATCCCCAAGTAATTACTTTCCATTCCCCCTCAGACACTTTGAGTTCGTTGCAGCAATATAAATAAAACCCTGCTCCTTTAAGAAATTACTGGCTTTCTAAAAACGTAAAACATTAGATTTGTTTTCGCAACGACATTATAATGAATGACTACGCACGCGATTGTACATTCTCGTTTTGTTTATTATGTGTTATAAATTGTAATTTATACAATCCTGTCCGCTTAAACAATTTATAGATTAAACAGTATATTTTATACTGTTTTAAACTGTATTCTTTAACTTTAGGTAGATGTCTAATTGATATATGTTTGTTGGGTAATTCTTTACAGTTCCGAATAAAACCTAGATTTGGTTTAAGGCACAATATCTATAATTGTTATTCAGTTACCAGTAAGTTGTTTGCGTTCAGTACTTCTTCTTTCGTTTCAACGGCAACTAAATAGTTAAAACATATATTGCTTTTTCCTCACTTTTTTTCAATGAATGTTACAAATATAATGCGTATTTGTATATATTGTATTCTTGAAATAAAACAAACATTAATGAGCATATTATTATTTTTTTCATGAAGAATACTGAATATTTTTTACCTATTCACATGTGTCATGAAAAAATAACGCGCTAATGCGATTGCAGACTTATTACATATAATGGAAAATAAACATTTTTTTTTTAATTTCAAGAAAACTTGTAGTGGAGACTCTACATTTTAAAACGGTCTTTCTAGCTTGTAAATATGCCAGCACCTTATCTTAAATATTTATCTGAAGCTAAAAACCTAATATAATTACTACTGATAAAGACATTTGTAAACATTACAATGCCTCACACTAGCACTGTTTTTTGAAAACTTATTAAACACTACTGACCAATTAAAATTTGGACTGAACCATGACAATATTAATTACATTGAGGTCTAGCCTCTTTCTCATATTACTCTTTTCATTCACTATTTAGAACTCTTGGTGTAGCTTCTAGACAGAAACTTTAACGATTGTTTTGTATAGTCACAACTCAAAATATATAATGAAAATAGGTCAAATAAAATCATGAGGGACTAAATATTTATTTCCACTAAGACAAGAATTTACTTATCGGGTTTCTTCTTATCCGGGTCAAAAAGTCGACTCATTTATAAAGGTAACCTTGAAGAACAACCAAGAGCATAACTGTATCTCTATAAATAAATTTTAATCTTCTTGACTACGAAATAATGAAAATAATAACAGTTGTTTAATATATGTACGAAAAATAAGTAAATAGACTCATAACAATTATAACAGTTAAAGTCCGCCTGTGTTAACACTGGCAAGGTGAGAAGGATAGGAGGAGTAAGATCAGTTAGCGCATCGTGACGAATTTATCTAGTATTAACCACGATAGTTTCAATAGGGGACGTGAAGGTTAACTTAAATTGATACTTTGCTAACAATAGGTCACTAGGATTAGTGACCCGATTGCTAGCAACATACCATCGATGTAGTAGTACTATTACTACGAGTCAGGAATGAATTCATAGGAATTCATTCCTGACTCCTGAGTTATGCCTTTTCTTTATTAATGAGAGTGATATTACAAAATGAAGAGGATTAGCCTACTATCCCCAGACTTGGATATAAGTTTTAGCTTCTTAGTTATAAGGTTCAAAATATAGCCTTATTAGGCTCGGTTTTAATAAATCTATATGTAGGTACATCACCTTGATATGTTATTGAGTTCGCTATCATTATTCTTGTCGTAAAATATTTTCATAAGACTCAACGATGCCTTTACGTGTCAAACTTGATTGCATCTTTATCTGATGAATACTAAAAGCCCGTGGGCGGTCATTGTGTTAGGTTAAACAATAGACTTACAACCGTCGAATGCTAATAAGTACATAATACGAGCCGTCTCGTCGGCCTACTGTACGTAACGTCGCGCATTGTGATCTTCAACAGACACTCGCTTACTTCAAATATTTGACACCTCTCTATTTCAGTGGATGTAGCAATAACTGAATAATAATATTGTATTTATTGAATACCAAACATGTTTTTGTTCACTTTCAAGACATCAGTAAGTCTATAGAATTGTACGTTCTTTGTTTATTTAGATATTCTCCTTAACCTCTTAACTATGTATTAAACCTGCCCTCATGATTACAATATTCTGTATTATATAAAACCAAACAAACAATGTAACTTATTATTCCCAAACTGGTCGTAAATTTTGAAAATTCTTTTCACAATCGATTTTTGTCGAAAATAGAGTTCGAAACCCGACACCTTTCTGCAAAGCTTATCATTCCGCTACGGAAGTAGATCATACGGTGCGAAGAATACGCGTGCACTCTCGTCAAAATTTTTAAAGCCTATAATAAAGATATTTCATTTAATTAGTAGTCTTGAATGTTTCTGTACAGTTAAAATAATTTTCTTATTTTTTTGTTACAGGCAAGTCCAGAAAATAGTAGAAATGCTTCACCAAGATATCACGATGCATCAATGGAAGATGTAAGTGTTCTACCAAGCGATTGTTATACTATTTTAATTTACAAAAACAATTACTCTTTTAACATTATTTATTATACAATATATTATTATTTACTAGCTACTCGCCCCGGCTTCGCCCGGGTGTACATGTATTATATATATAAACCTTTCTCTAGAATCACTCTGTCTATTAAAAAAAAACGCTTGAAAATCAGTTGCGTAGTTTTAAAGATTTAAGCATACCTATGTATAGACATACAGCGACAGCAACTTTATTTTATAATATGTAATAATGATTATAAATAGAATCTGCATTTATTGTTTGGTATTATATTTTTTCCAGGCATCGGAAGCAGGTTCTCTGTTCCGGGTAACAGGCGCGGGCGGTGGTGGCAAGAATGAGTTGGTGGCGCGGGGCGGAAGTGGCGGCGCGCTTGCTCTCTCGCGGGCGCCTGTCGGTGGCAGCGCCAGTCCCGCCCCCGCGCCCTTACCTCAACCTGCGCCGTCGCCCGCGCCAGCCGCTCTACCACCACCCGCGCTACCACCGCCACCCTTCCGTGCCGACACGCCGCACCGACCCAACGGCGCTCACATCCCCACTCTCGACGGACACGCCGCCACACAGATACCGGCGCGGCCTATCGGAGCCGCCGGGCCTGATACTCCCGAGCGGCCCGCCAGCAATAATAAATTGCAACCAGGAGCTCGAGCCGCCGCCGACAGCCCAACACCAGCGCCGCCAGCACCACCCGCCCCCTCTCCGCTCTTCCCCTCACACACTGCCTACCAGTCGCATGCCGCAGCCGCGTTACCCGATTACCGCCATACGAACCATGAAACGCGGACTGAACAACCGGAGCATCCTCCAGCACCGTTGGACCTACACGCGCATCACGCGCCTCGTCCACCACCTGTCGTTCCGACCACTACGCAAGCCTCTCTACCTAGTCTACCGATACGTGTGCCGCATACGCAACCACATCCAGTGATGCCAGGACACGACGTCCGAAACATCCCGGTGTCCGCATCTACTCATCCGTCTGTTCCTACCTCGTTTCCAAACCGTGTCAATGGAATACCACCAAGCATTACATCCCACTCGACACCCCCGTCTAATCCGAGCTGTCTTCCGAATCAAACTATAACCGGTCGGCCCGTCTCTCCGGCCGCTCCAATTTCCCGCCCGTATCCTGTCACGACGATCGGGTCTAGTCATGTAAACTCGAGTGTATGTTCCAGTATTCACAATCATTCGATACCATATCAAAGCCAGTCGAGTTTACCCAAACATTCCGTTCAACCAGCATACACGAACCGACCTCCTCATCTCGCACCGTTTAGCGTAGCTAATCACATTGCTCCCAGTCATATACAACCTTCCTCATCAAATCAGTCCACTACCACACATATGAGCCATCCTGTTAACAGTCATTCCATTATGAACCACTCAAATCATCCTATGCCAATGAGCAATTCTGCACCACTAATGACATCAACACCAAACCACATCGGTCCGCCTTTATCATTATCTTCTACGACCAGTACGATATCAAGTTACACATCAAGTATGAAACACCCCGGTCTTAGTTTGCCACCACATCCGATATCTCTCGCACCGCCCTCCTCGATACATCCACAAATCAATCACATTGATTCTTCTCCTATAACAAGTGTCGCGCCTTCTATTATTCCTCCCGTCACAAGTAGCAGCAGCCACCCGTTAGCAATACCCGTAGTGGACTCTAGGCAACCTCCAGTTACGTCGAGCGACCTACCGGCGCGGACGGAAAGCCCTGCCATTAGTTCTACTACTACTTCCAATGGATTTCCGCCACCCGCAGGCTATTCCAGCGCTGCCTATCCACTCTATGCACCGTATGCTACTACACTTCAACATAGTCCCTACCTTCCTCCTGCTGCAGCGTCACCTAGAAATTCTACTGACACGGTGAGTTGATTATTTTTTAAGTCATAAATTCATATTATAATCTATTACATTTACCATATATTCCATTGGATCTTAATTTAAAAAAAAATTGGTAAACATACCTTATTTAGTTTTAACTGATTAATTCTTAAATATAGGTTTAATAATAATAGTAATTTCCGCATATCTTTTTATAGATCTAGTAAATGCATAGATTTTTTTTACTTTTCAGAGAACAAGTCTTTCGGCATCTCCGTTAGTGGCTCCAAAAACGCCTAAAGGCGTACGACCACACACGCCCGGCTCCACTGGAGCAGCGGGAGCGGCACCACTGTCGCACGCGCCTATATCGTATTCACCACGCGGACATAGTCCAAACAGAGAACGGGAGAGTTTCAGGTAATCCCATCAACCCCATCAACAAGTATTACCAGCTATCATTGCTTCACGCGTACTAAATGAATTTATAATAATTATAAAATCTGAAGAAAATAATGGTTGGCATTGGACACCCGAGATTGAATGTCATAGTAAAGCATAGCATTGATTTCAGCAGCAACATCAGCAGCCTGTCGCGCAGCACACCTGCCTCGGTCTCTGCGCCCGCGCTCGTACCGCCGCTCGCCGCACCGCTGCAGGTATATAGATTATTAGTCCTTATAATCTACCCGTCTACGTGAAACACTACGTATATTAAACACCGCTGCAATCCACTGCTGGATTGCTCCGCTTTAACGAGCGAAAATGATCCAGCGAAAAATTTGAAACGTCAAATTGCTATGATAATTCATAGCAATTTGACGTCGTATGAAAAATCTTTCCATCCGTCTATTTTGACTACGTATAATATAATTGTGTTTAAATGAGTACCATATGAATTAGAAGTCTACATGTAAAACTATTGATGAATCGTGATGATATTAATTAATCTTTAATGTCGATTCCAGACTCCTCTCGCGGCGCCCCTGGGCGGCCCGCTGGGGGCTCCGCTGGTGGGCGTGGCGGGCATGGGGGCGGCGCTGGCGGCGCCCACGCCCACGCCCGCGGCGCCCACGCCCACGCACCTCACGCACTCGCTGGCGCCGGTGCCCACCGTGCCCAGCATCAGCTCCAGTGCCAAACCGCCCGCGCATTGGGGGGTAACGTGAGTATACGCCGGCACTGATATGCTCCAATATTTCTTAGGAAACGTTATATAGTTATTACTAAATTAAACAATAATTCATTCAATCATTATGAATTAGCCGTCAACTATTTTTATTAATTCATAATATATTTTTCTATGCATTTAATACACAACTTATATGCTACTTGTATGTAAACGGAAGCAAAAAGAGGCAGAGTGGAGGTTATAAATTTATACAAAGTATTTATTCTTAAAACCATCAAACCACAACATTATTTAATAATTAATATTGTGACATTATTGTTGATTTACACCCAATTGATGTTTTAATATTATATTACAGCGCATCTGTTGTAATTAAGATTATTAAAATTAAATTAAACCATATCTTTACGTCAAGTAAAAAAAAAACCCAGTAATTTATGTATCTGAAACGATTCGTATGACTATCAGCATGTTAATTCAAGCAAAAAGCTGACCCCTAAAATTTCACCAAACTGTTTAACAGCACATTATTGCATTATTTTCTTACTGAATTCATCTAATCTACATAGAATAGTTGTAATATGTCTCATAATATAAAATTAGAACGTTATCTGATTGTAAACTCTCGTTTTCAGCAGGCCGACTGCCTCGGACCGTGGCGGCTTCGCGCCGGCACCACCACTCTTCGGAGCGCCGCTCCCACCGCCGAACCCGAACCCGTTCTCAGCTGAATCTCTCTTCCAGACCAGTGAGTTTGAACGAAAACTACTTTACTTTCATGTATTGTATAGCAAATCAAATGAAAAATCGTTTATTCATGTATGTACATTCCAGCGGCTAATGAATGTTAAATTTATGTATTATTATTATATTTAAAGTCCGTTTATTTACATACATACAATGTTTAAATTTCTTTGATAGAATTAGAAATTGAGATTGATTAAGAGTTTTGATAGAATATTATAAACAGATTTCTATTTTATGTAATATATTTATGGGTATGTAATAATATGTACAAAAATTAAAATGTACAGCCTATTATATCAATTCCTTAGAAAATTTATATCATACATTGCAAATGGTTCAAATAAAATGTACTGATAAAAAACCGTATATAAAAAAATAATAGAACTGTGAATAAAACAAAATCTTTTGATGAGACATTGCCTTCGTCTAACATGATGAGGACAAGTGTGGTATTTTATATATCTTTGTAATATTCATACTTGTAACTTGTACTATGTGTAAGATGTATGAAACATACGACCGGGAATGTGGCAGGTCCCGGCGCAGACTTGTTGCGGCGCGAGTTGGACAACCGATTCCTGGCGGCGGCAGGCGCGGTGAGCAGCATGGGTGGCGTTCGCACCGAGATGCATCACCACCAGCACCAGCACACGCACGTGCACCAGCACCAGCCGCACGCGCCCCACGCGCCCCATGCGCCTCACGCGCCCCACGCGCCCCATCCCCACCAGCTCCTCGTGCCGCACGCGCCCCTAGTTAGTACAAGCTTTTTTTTGTAATTGGAATGACAAACAAGCTGACGGCCCTGATGGTAAGTGCCGACCGCTGTATATATATATATATATGTACGTGAACAGTATAACGTATTAGTTCGCTATGAAAGGTCCGTGGCACCATTAAGCCATTCTGGAGGACTGCGATATTATGCCTATACTTTAATTATACTACCTACCTATTTACTACCTACTTTGTTCCTTTGTCAACGCTAAAAAATGTATATGCTTAAGCTTATGTTATGCTTATGTTACACTATTTTAAGCATCTCACAGTAATAGAATAGTATGCATTTTATCTTAATATAATAAGTATACTTCCAAGTAAAATTTATTTTACCTATGTTTATTATATATGCATAAAAATTACAATTCTCGTAATTAAAATCTTACAACATAGCGTTTTAATCTTAATATAATGAGCATGATCATTTAGAACTCAACAAACTAGTTGTTGAATAATTATGGTAAATATTTTTGACATATATAATATTGTATTACAGCACACATATAAATGTGTTACATATTAATATGATAAATCGTATGATTATTTCTTGTTAAAAATTTACGACGTGCTACTTATTAATATAAATTCCCTCATTTTCAGTACAAAGATGTCAATAAAATGAATTCACTATACCGAAGTGGGTTGGGTCTCGGCTACGGGTATGGCTCGAGCTTGCTACACCCCACTGCGCCGTACGTGCCGCCCGCACCGCTCACCACTTACGCACCCAAGGTAATAAACAAAACTCGCTACCTACTTACACCTTTAGATAGGTCAGTATATAAATCTAAATCTAAATAAGTGGAAATGAATTTCAAAGAGACTCCGTTTTCTTTCAATTCAAAACTTTTGCTTTTTTATGGTTAGACTTTTTTTAGACTTAGTCCCATAATAATAAAGAAATCAAATTGTGACATAATTAAATTAGTTTGTTATATTATTATTTATTTATTCTATTTGAAATAATCATAAAGATTTATAAAGAGTCGCTAAAATTCAGAATTCATGAATATGTTTTTTCATAATATACCTAATAAGATTGAATGTCCAATCCAAAATTCAGTTTGGCATGGAGTATTTTCACCTATTGAAATCAAATCAAATTAAAATATCTTTATTCATGTAGGGCTATTACAGACTCTTATATTATAGATTTAACATATAGTTATATGTTAAATCTATTGTCAGCTTTCGAGCCAAAAAAACTCTGCTCTTATTCCTTTCAAAATGTGCTTCTACATGTTTATAAAAATATATTCATTTTTAAATTCAAACTCAAAGAAAGGTTTCAAGTGTATAATGAAACGAACTCCACAAGCTTATTACCAAAATCAAATTCACATTAGTATTATAGTAGCGTTTTGAAAACCAATGTTAAGCTACTAATAATCATACTAATCACCTTGGGTAATTGAATGTTTTATCTTAATTTCGGGCTTGATATTTTCTTTAATGAAATGTACAATATCTTTGGTGATAAATTCTATAGACGGAATTCTATGACATCCTTTGTCAATAACTGTGCATAAAATATTTATAAAAGCTTTTAAAAATCTATAAAATCTTTATTAAGACCTATTACCATAAGTGATCGTGAATGTTATTTTAACATTCAAATTCAGAGTTAGCCAGGGTGGCTGTCTGATTTTGTGTCATTATAAATTATAATTTTACATAAAAATCTAATAGAGATTCTAATATTACTACTAAAATTATACAATTTAGATTTTAAATTTAGTGATCTGTGCCGTTGCTTAGCTACAATAGAGATTCTTGATTCTTTTCAACATTCATGTTTCTGTGGAACCAGATTATTTTAACATTACTGTCATCTTAAATTATTTCTATTTTTATAGTATGTTGTAGACTCTCATTCTTTATTAAATAAATAGATTAATTATGTTATTTTTAATGTTTACTTTTAAATTAACATTTTGTTTATCAAATTATTCTTATTCTTAGTATGTAACACACAAATTAGGGTTTAAATATTACTAGACTTTTTCTTCGGTACTTTCTTAAAATATGTAGCTTGGTGCTTATGACTATATTTTGTTGCTCTGTGATCATTAACCCTGCGACGCATCATGTTAACAGCCCGTAGTGTCAGCTGCAAGCGACCCCGCCACTAAACCACCACCACGACCCACTGCTGCGGTAGGTTTCCTTCTTTAGCACTTCATTATTCCATGCATGCCTAGTAATAATTACATTGTCATAACTAGCTGATATTTTAATTTATTAACATTATGAATATGACTTGTTAGGTTTTAACACGTGTAATAATAAAAAATAAAATATTTAACCTATATTAGAATACTATCTGCTATTCATTATGGATATTACGTCTTAATAAATAGTTAAGTGGAAAAAAATATTTATCTATGAATAAAATATTTCTGTTAAGACCCAATGAATCATTTATTGGTTTTAACACGTGTAATAATAAAAAATAAAATATTTAACCTATATTAGAATACTATCTGCTATTCATTTTGGATATTACGTCTTAATAAATAGTTAAGTGGAAAAAAATATTTATCTATGAATAAAATATTTCTTTTAAGACCCAATGAATCATTTATTGTTATTGATTTCTTTTTTCGTTCTATTAAAATAAAATTAATTTAATTAAATGGATAATTGCACAGATAATTATAAAAAATAATAATTATAATAATCTTATTTTTTCACTTTATCCGATGCAGAAAACCGGAAAATGGAACGCGATGCACGTGAGAATCGCATGGGAGATCTACAACCATCAGCAGAAGGAAAAGTCAGGCGGCGGTAGCGTGGTCCCCGGCGGAGACAAAGACAAGCTGCGACCGTTCCCCACGGGCGCGCCGCCGCCGCCGCCGCCCGCCGCCTACCGGTCCCCGTACGAGCTGGCGCCCGCGCCCTACCTGCCACACCACCCGCCGCTAGGTACCGTCCGCCTGGAACCCTCCCGACACCACGCCCTCGCGCCGCAGCTGCCGCCCCTGTCGCCCCTATCGCCCCTCGCGCCGCCTACTCACGGAGGTTTGCGCGTTTCAGGGGTATCGCCGTTCGCGCGGTACGGCGCCGGCGCATTCCCCGGCGCCCCCGCCGCGTTCGGCCTGTCCCCGTACGGGCGCGAACTCGCGCTCTCCTCCTCGCTGCACGGTGTCCACCACGCGCCGCCGCTGGGCGCCCTGCACGATGCGTGGCGCGGCGTGCGGCCGCCGCCCGCCGTCGCCGCCTCCGCCTCCGCCTCCGTCGCCGCCGAGGTGCGCCGCGAACACGAGGAGCGCGAGCGCGCGCGCCGTGACCGCGAGGAACGCGAGCGCAGGGACCGCGAGGAACGCGAGCGCCGTAAGGCCCGGGAGCAGCGCGAGCGGGAAATGGAGCGGACCAGGACGCGCTCGCCGCTCAGGAACGGCGCACCGGAGGGGCTCAAAGACGAGCGCAAGGAACCACCGCGACCGCCGCCCCCTTCGCTGGCCGCGTACCCTCCTCCGCCGCCCTGGGACCCGTATCGCGCGTTCGACACGCTGCAACACATGCGGTTCGCTCCGCTGCTCGAGGCGACCATCCGTGCCGAGGAAGACCGCGCCAAGATGCTGAGCGCATACGCCCACCACCAGCAGCTGAAGTCTTCGCCGCTGCTACACCGCGGGCTGCCGCCGCACGCGCCCCTGCCGCCTCTGGGCGCGCACGCCCCCCTGGCCCCGCTGGCGCCGCCGCTGGCCCCGCTGGCCCCGCTCGCGCCCCTGGCGCCACTCGACCTGCTCAAAAAGGAGGAGCCGCGATGATAACGAAACGGCGCGACCGCCGACTCCGACTGTATATAGCGTAGTGTAAACGACGTCGCAAGTGAGAGTACGACTAATTTAATGTATATCGTTTCGCATTATCGGTTTAGAAAATTATTTATTGTAACGTCGCTTGCCGAACGACGGTCGCTAGTCTCGCCGGGCGGCCTCCCGTCGGACGAGCGAGGCGGCGCGAGGAGGCTCGCTCTCCCGACATGTGCAATATAGGACGAGGACTTTGGGCGCTCGCCGCCGCCGGCCTGTACACAGTTGCTTGTTTATTTACATGAAAAATATCTATCGAGTTGTTATTGTGACCATTATTAGTTAATTATACATCAAATCGCTGATTATGTGAAGGATAGGATTATCAAAATCACTATCGATATAATTATACATATTTATATATACTTTATAAATAAAATGTAAATATTAGTATGTAACTTAGTGTTAAAGTATAGAATTGGTTTATTTAACGTCATACAAAGGAAAATCCCATAAATTATTGTATCGGGAGTATAAATTACACTTCCGTTAAAAATCTCAGAATGGTTTTTCTATTGTACCAGTGGAATTTTATTTATTAATTTGGTCCTCCTAGTAGTGACAAGTAAAAAAACGTTTTTATAGCAGTTTTGACATTTATAATTGAAAATGCATTTAAAAGTATGTGATATTATTGTATTGTTAAATACATTTTGTCTGACAACAAAGTAGTGTCTCTGATAAATTTAATAGATCTTATCTACTATTCATTACAGTAAATATTTAAATTTGTATAAATTATTTTTCAAATGTATTAATTTTAAAGAATTGCAATAATTTCTGACTATGTTATAACTAGAAAAAATTGTAAAAATAATATTTTGGACTCCATGTGTTATTGAATTTGAATTGACCAGTAATTGAGTCAGACAAAATTCAATATTAAATCTGTTGTAATAGATTACGTCAGGTGTTTTATGTTTTAATAATCTCACGACAGACTCCGATGTGTATTATAGTTTACAAAATCATTCTGTATACTAAAAAGTAAATGAAAGCTTGGTGCGATTCAGAAAATACCATTAAAACTTTTGATTTTTATACCAAGAAGATGTTTCATATCCTTTCCTCAATCCATCTATTATTTTTCGCCCTTCTTAATTTGGCAAATTTATTCGACATTTATTTTCCATAATATAATTAAAAAAGATTAAGAATTCATAATTAGGGAAATAATTTATGCTGGTGATAATATAAATAAATAGAGTAAAAGGCAATTTTTTAAAATATATAAAATTATGAGCAAATTATTTATTGTCCATATTCTTACCTACAAAATATATATGAATCAGTAGTAATCTATTATTTTATTAAGATTAAACATATTGAAACACCTAAATTGAAAAATAGGATTTACTCTTAAGCTATTGCAATGTAATTACATCAAGCATAAACAGTGGTTATATAAATCCTGTTATATATAATTAAAATAAATAATTAATAACCCGGGACAATTAACACAGCGCTCCTACGCAGAGCTAATGTTGCACTAGATAACTGATATTAATATACATAGAAAACACCCAGTTGAGTACATCATTATTCATGAATACAAATGTTTTCCTTCGTGCGAGGAATCGAAACCCTAGACCACCGAAGCCGCCAAATAGAATTCCTCTGAAACACCATTGAAAACAATTGAACAGCTGTGTCTCAGTAAACATTTAATAGATAGTAGAAAATCATTTATTCAAATAAACTTCATTTAAGCACTTTTGAATAGTCATAACAATGTTTTTTAATCTACCGCTCATTCGAAAAGCTGTCTCATCACAAGAACGAGCTCTTTTAAATAATCCTTGTAAGTTCACATTTTACAAGTCGAAACGTGTGAATACAAACTACTACCCAGCAGTATATTAACAATTTAAATCAGTCTTCACTATGACTGATTTAATGAGTATGACGGATGAGCCAGGCATCACTGCGTTCGACCATATTGTAGGAAGCCCAATGACCCGGCCCACCACGCCGCCACATGTCTGTATATTTTAGTGACCATAACTACTCATTCCACTCGACCTCGTCATTACTTAGAATTATTATATAGTATTTAGTTACAGTATTCGCACTTTACATAATGATGCATGCGGCAATCAATACAAAAGCCGCTATGCAATTTTTCAAGAAAGCAGCATGAAAAAGAAATAACGTTATTATTAAAAAAAAACAAAAACTTATATTTTTAGTAAATAACACTATTTTCTGTTGTTTAATGTAGTTTAGTATTCTCATTCAAATTCAAACAATGAAACAACAAACGACAAGAAAGTACAGAAATAAAAATAAAAAACGGAAGAAATATTGGCATTTGCAACCAAAACATAAACATTACCTACATCTGCTGCGTGATAGGATAAAACCTAATTCAAAGGTACTGCATATTTTTGATTCTTAGCACCAAAGGATCAAAAAGAAAGGGGGACTTACAAGGAAGCACATACAATTCAGTCGATAAGATTAAAAAAAATGTACATTACACTTAAAAGAATGTACATTGTATTAAAAAGATTGACTACCTGATTCTTCTTGCAGGAATGAATGCCAAGCATTAATATGCAGTATAGATACTTAATGGCCTGTTGCCAACAATTTATGCTCAGTCCATAGAGTACATTTACATATTATTATATATATTGACTAAGTTCTCCAAGGACACCATCATGTGTATATAGTATACTTCCAGTATGATATATTTTTCTTATAAACAAAGCTTTAGATGAATTTAGATTTTGTAAATGTTATTTTGGGGATGTACAGAACTTGAATAGAATTCAGAATAACACTAATAAAACACATCTACTATGCTTTCACTATATTATGTATTACAGCAAAAAGGATGAATTATAATAACATTTTATAAATAAAATTTTCTAGTGTTCAGTTGCTTATTTTAATAATCTATTTTCTGTACCAAATTTGAAGACTCTTCATTCTTTTTACTTTTTTCTGTAGTTGGAGAATACCATAAAGTAATGCTTCTGCTGATGGTGGACATCCAGGCACATAAATATCCACAGGTACAATCCGATCACACCCTCTGAAACAAATAATATAATTTAATGATATAATTAATATATGGCCTTGATGGTTCCATAACATACATAAAAGAAAATAACATAGCTCAAACACGAGGAAACAGTATAGTATGTGTTTCAATAAATTTAGAAGACAAACAACTACTTCTATTACAATAAAATACATTAAATACTTTACCTTACAACAGAATAAGAATAATGATAATATCCACCGCCATTAGCACAGCTACCCATTGAGATCACCCATCTTGGATCTGGCATTTGATCATACACTTTCCTTAAGGCTGGTGCCATTTTATTAGTTAATGTTCCTGCTACTATCATTACATCTGCTTGACGAGGCGAAGCTCTGAATACTACACCATACCTAGAAGATTTGTATTTGTTCATTGACTTGAAATTTCCCAACACTGTCTACTCTAATTATATTTTAAAATAATAAGTTTGATCATAATTTAATAAACATTCAGAATTTTTACATATATTTTTCAATACTTGAGTAACCCGAGGCATCAAGAGTACAAATTATTCAAATAACTTACTAGCTGTTACCAGCAACTTTGTTTACACAAACCTACACTCTCTTCCAGATTCCAGAATTTTTGAGATTAAAAAGGCTGTCTGACTTAATTTTCTGTGTGTCTAATATCATTAAGATCTTAGTAGTGAAAAGGTTGACAAGACAGTTTTGCTACCAAGATCTCAAACAATTACTGTATTTTCAATTATGTTTCTATGTGATGGTTGCAAATTTTCATATTCCATAACATACCTGGCTTGAAAATCTTTCACACTGTATATGTATAACAGTATAGAAAGTATATATACAGATATCATTTTTAAATTAATTAGTCTATTAAGACATGTCATGTAAGTCATGACATTTTGATATTCAGTAGTAATAAACTGTAATATAAAAATGATGACATGTAGAGAATGAACATTAGCCTTTTATTATCTAAAAAAGAGCCATAGTTATAGGTTACAACTGGACATTCAAATTTTTGTTTACCCAATACTACACTTCAGATTGACCTGAATTACATCTGGACTATGTTGTTCATGGATGACAACATAAACATAGAGGACTACTACATACCAGTCAATTGTGTATTCCTAAAATAGTACTACCAACTAACCTGTCCATGTCATATCGAGGAGCAGCTATATGCATCATCTCTACAGCACAGCAGGCTAACCCAAAGGTCATGGGCCAAATTGAACCTTTACGACCCCAGTTCAACAAGTCATCGAGTCGAGCGACAGCGAATTCTGCCATATTTGTAGCATCTTGAAAAGGGGAATATGGTCTTCTTTCATTGGGATTCGGTGCTGGCAAATGAGTTTGACGAACCTGATCAACGATTGGAGCGAAAGCACCCTTTTTAAGAACTGAAAGTATCGTGCCGGGTGCGTTAACACCTAGTGCTTTTAAGGCCTGCATAGTTTACCTGAAAGATATGCGCAATATCGTTATTAAAAATAACCATAAAGATAGGCTCTAATTAATGAATTAAATAAATAGAATGAGAAACAAATTTATTCAAACAACTCACAAATATTATTTGTTACATAAACTAGAAAATAGATTAAATACGCTTATAACTAATAAACAAATATGTACAATATTATCAAGTGAATTTTACGTAATTTTAAGCACAGATTCTTTTTTACGGGAAACGTTAGGTATGTAAAACAATATCGATATTTTCTCTTTGATATATCGATAAACCAGGTATTTCGATACACCATAAAATATATTAAGTACTACTTATTTAAAAACCAACTCTTTTTCACCAATGAACTATAACGAAAGTATTATATATTAATTTTAAAGCAGTAAATTAATGTATGTTAATTATCTAATAACATATTGCACATAATTCGTCCTAGTCAGAGAATAATAAAAATAACTTGTGTATATTTAGTGAGGATTATTAAACGTTACAAAGTATTGACTAATAGATTATTAAAGTATAGTCGATATGAATACAAATATATTACCAATATAAATTTTGTAACATTAAGATATTATTGTCTTAAAAAGTTTTCCACTTTCGCGTCCCTCTCTAAAATACATTTATAAAGATGGCTTTTAGAAGAATGAATGTAGTTTAAAATTAAAATGTTCAGTATGTTTGACAACTGGTTAACGTTTATAAAGAATGCCAAAAACACGCGCAATTAATTGAAAACATTTTCTTCTTTTCTTGATATTAATCTGTACTATTCATGTCGTTTTTGACAATGACATTTTAGTCATGTAGGTTCTATATTTGTACTTTAACTTAAATTTTTCAAAATAATTGAAAGTATACAAATAAAGCCCACTATATACGTTTAATTTTATATTTTGTTGGAATTATATCAACACAATGAGTCTAATTAGAAAGGTACAGATTTTAAATTCTCACTTATTTTGCAAATAAAAAACCAGTCTTTCTCGAAATATTCAAATTGTACTACATTCTGTAGTCCTTTTTCTTGAAGCGTCTTAATACCAATTCCTTTAAAAATACGACCTAATATTTGCCTTTTTAAGCGTATGGAGTTATTTTCCAGTGCTGTAATCCGTTTCAATAGAACTTAGAGAAACTGTAAACAACTGTTTTATCTTGAAAGTTAACGTATAAGCACCGACCACTGACTAAATAGAAATAATAAAATATTCAATTAAGATGCGCTTAAGGGTTTTAACAGCGTATATTGCCACTTTTTCTAACAGTATTTATTGTATTGTATTCACTTTTTAAATTGTAGTTGAAAAAAAAAAAATTGTGAGCAAAATTAATTAATGCCTTTATAGAAAATGTCTATATATTGATGCAGCATTAGCAATGTAGGATTCAATGCAGCATTAAAATCAGCATTCAATATAAATAACTATAATAATTAAATATATCAAATAATACAGTTATTTTACAATTGTATTGTATTTATTATTGGAATAATGTAATGTAATCTATTCTCACAAAATAATTTAAACATATATTTATTTTACAAGCTTTTATTAGTTTTTTACAATATTGACATGATCTTAAGATTGTTTTTCATCAGTGATACTAATATATTTGTAGTATGTATAATTAATTTAGTGTAAGGAATCAAAACAATAGCATAATTGAAATATTCAATACAATAACTATTTCCTTGACTGGGTTAGTGACTTATTTTTGCCTTTTTTGTATATATTCTATTGGAAGGTAGTATAGTTATGTCAGTAATAATATATTTTTTATTCACTTGTAACTTTAAATTATTTGTTAAATTACTTACTAACTTTATGCAACAATACTTTATAAGATGCTGTACCTTGAGTATTTAATACATGTATTATAAATTATGTTTTACACTCCGTTAATTGTAACACAATAAACATTTTAGGCCAGAACATGGTGTAATTTTGATTTTGAAGAAAATGCACCCCCAAAAAAATTGATTAAGAATCCTAAACAATATGAAGATACATTAGATGAGGTAAGTAAAATAATGTAATGCAAATATTTACTTTCAATCTATCTTACTGTTTTATTAGTAATAAACTTAGTGTACATTGAGAATTATTAATAGAGTCAAATTAATTTTATTTACTTTGTAGAAACGAAATACACTAAAAGTGTCAGAAAAATGTAACAATGCAATTAGTGTAATTAATATAGATCACAGAAATTGGATGAAAAATTTTGATCCTGTAGTAGTGGAAGATTTGGCTATTCACAATAAAAAAATTCAAGAAATTGAAGAATGGTTAAAATGTAGTACTGGGAAAAATCAAAGTGACATACTACTTATGACAGGTCCCGTGGGGTCTGGGAAAACTATTACTGTTTATACACTTGCAGCTAAACATAACATTAAAGTTACAGAATGGATTACACCTCTTGACATTGATTTGCTTTCTGAGTATGGTAAGAGAATAATTATGGTAGAAGTGATGTACTTACAGACTGGAAATTTTGTAATCTATATACATATAAATAAATTTGGAGGTCCATTTGTAATATTTAAATAAAAATTTTTTACTATATTTTTATACTACTATAATATTGTACATACACCAAACTAACATTTTTTACAATTTTTGTCTGTCTGTCTGTCTATGTTCCAGCTAATTTCTGAAATGGCTGGACCTATTTGGTGGGACTTTTATTGGCAGATAGCTGATATAATAAGCTTAGGCTATCTTTATTTTAGAAAATAAAGTTAAATTCCATGCAGACGAAGTCCCATGTACACATGTTAATAAAATATAAATATAATAATATCCCTGGACTATCCACACAACACCATCTAGTATCAAGCAAAGCTTGTATTTTGGTACTAAATGACTGTTAGATATACATAGACACACTTTTCAATATACATATGTAATATATATATAAAATAGCCAGACCAATAAAAACAATCATACCTATTAATGAAACAAATGTTGGTACGACATTGGTACATGTAAGGAATCTAACCTGCCCAACCATCGGAATAAAGTAGTATACTAAACCAATAATTAACATATCACATTAAGAAGTTCTGGTATTATGCTAATAAATAGTTATGCTTCAAATAACAAATTTTGTTTCATTTCAGGTGATTATGAATTTAAAGAAAAACAATCAACAAAGTTTCTAGAGTTTATAATAAAAGCTGCCAATTTTACCTCATTACTAGACAATAATGATAGAAAATTGGTAATAGTTGAGGACTTTCCAAATACTTTTTTGAGGACACCTTCAGAGTTCACAGATGTTTTACAGTGAGATCATTTAACATCATATTAAACTCAATAAATAGATATTATTTTTTTCTAAATGCCCAAATATTTTTTAGGCAGTATAGACACAGAGCAAAATCACCGATAGTATTTATATGTTCAGAATCTCACTCAGACAACAAAAACACTGCTTTGAATATTTTTACAGCAAATTTGAAAGAACAATTTTGTATACACCATATTGTGTAAGTATTATATAGAAATGTTACAATTATTTTAATATATTTAAATTAAAATAATTATTACTACATCCTTCTTCTTTCAGACTAAATATATATACTTTATATTTTTATATTTAGTCTGTTGTTAAAGAATCAAATATCCTCACCGTTGCTTATCAATATATCCACGAAAATATCATGTATGCCAAGAAAAACAATGAGTTTTAAAAAAGTAGGTGATTACACTAATAAAAGCTTACATAATATCAACAAAAACTAATTTTACCTAAGTGCCGTTTGACGAAAGTTAGTAATTCATTTTATGGAAATTGCGTATGGTTTTACAACAAACTGCCAGAAAAAAGATTCAAATGTCTTATAAAATATTTTCTTTGTAAAAAGTTTATTATAAAATTGAAGAATTTATAAATGATAATGTTTTTGTAGATAATATCTATCTTAAAATTCATAAAGATTAAGTGCGTAGCGGTTTCTATGTTGATTGTCGCACGCATAATCCTTTATAGCTTTAGTCGATGTTGTAGAATTGTTCAATTATATGATATATTATGTTATAATTTCAGATTTAACAGTGTATCAACAACAGGTCTAAAGTCTGCTTTAAAAAGAGTATCAGAAATAATAAGTAAAAAACACAAGGCAATATATAACATCCCTTCTCCAGATATGATAGATTGTGTTGTGAATTCTTCAGGTGGTGATGTAAGATCAGCAGTTTTAAATTTACATTTTGCATGTCTAAAAGGTAAATTGTCTATTGAATTGTGTAAGTCCATTAATAAATAGTAATACATATTATAAATACAAAAACATTTTAACATTCTGGTCGAGACCATACCACGACCATAAAATGATGTTATATTTATGAAAATTTGCTTGAAAAAGCAAATGTCTAGTTTCACCATCCTTACATACGAATTCTCAAAATTTTGTTATTACCTGCTTATTTCTTCTACATTTAACTTTTTTCGTTTTAGGGTCAAACATGGATTTAGAAACAAGTATTGTAATAGAAAAAGAGACTAAAAGTAAAACTAAAAAGAAAAAGCAATCTAGTAAATTTTTATCACTTGGTAAAGACCAAACTGTAAACATTTTACATGGCGTTGGTAGAGTGCTGAATCCAAAAGGTATGAAATGTTTTGTATAGATATATTTTGTAAGGTATATCGTAGCTGGTAGATAATTTTAACACCACTAGGGTTGACAAAAGATCTGATTATTTATATGTATAATAAAAATATTTTTGTATGACTGTGATGTATCATAGTAGTATATTAATTCACAAAATATAATTGTTTTCTTTTACAGTGGTTAACACAGAAAAAGGCAATCAATTAACACACTCGCCAAAAGATGTAATAGAACAATTTCTAAGTCAACCTTCATCATTTATAAACTTTTTAGAAGAGAACTATTTGCCTCATTTCTCTTGTTCCGATCACACTTGCAAAGCTGCAATGGCGCTCAGTGATGCAGACTATATGCTAGCTGAATGGAAAGTAAGATATTAGAATATTCTTTTTTATACTCTCATCTATATATGGGATTAACATTTTATACCGTCAGAAAAATATGGAACAAAATAAACTAAATATTAATTAATACTATAATCTTTAAAACGGTTGTTGAAACACAGCATACAAACCAGTTTAATTAGCGGCAGACATATATGAAACAGAGATAATTACTTTCTACTAAGTCTATATGTGTAGAAATCGACTGTATCTATTAATTCTCCACAACTTATTTGAGGGTTTTTCTTCATTTAGTGCTGCGTCACTGTTTGCCATTTGAGTATAAATTTCTTATTAGATATCAATCCCTTCAATTTTCCTACAGATATCCTATTATTAGATCATTGCAATAGCATTCTGAAGTGAACCTATATAACTGGCAGCTTAGTATATTTAACATTACTGAGATAACATCTACAGAGTGCCACCATTTATGCCAGTGCCTTAACTTGAAAGTAGTTTTTAAGAGAATAAATATATAACATAAAAAAATATAATATATTATTATTTATATTATATAAACATAAAATATTATTTCTTATTTATCACATTTTATGTATCAGGAAAAAATGTGCCAAGAATATGGATTGTATACTGCAGTGGCTGGTGTAATGCTAGCTAACAAAGCTCCCATATCAGCATGGAATCCAGTTCGCGGACCAAAGAATATGAAAATTCAATACCCGTAAGTTACACATAAAGATTTCCCCATTCACTTTATTATTTTTATATTTATTTAGTAAGAAAAGTGAAAAAACATCGTCGTCTTTAGTCATGAACATAACATAGTCATGTGACGTTCATGGCAAACCATATCTTGGTGATAATAATGCAATTTAACTTAACATACCTATACGCGGTTTATAAGCTACTTGTCGTTTTTATTGTAAATTATAATGTTTTAGATCACCTCAGGAATTACGACTCGATATTAATTACCTATACAAAGGGAAGGTGTTGGTTATGGATTATCAGACATACAGCAAAATAATTGGAACGAAAGAATCGTTAGAACAGAACAATATCCTTATAGAGTTTTAATGGTATTGTGTTAATAAATTGTTATTTAATTTTAATAATTGTTTAATTTCTCAAATTATACTTAACCCATATTAGATAAAGGAAGTATCTATATTAAAAAACGTTGGGTATAATACAATTACTTTATTAAATGTAATAAGAATACGCCATTGTGTTCTAAACTTACAAAGCTTTTAAATCTTATTATTTAGTTGAATTTTGAACAGGAACATTGGATCTGGGAACCAAAATAAAAATATCCAATCACTATTACAATTTATTGACAAAGTCAGGATCTTCTCAATTACAATTAATAGAATGTGATTATTGTATACATTAACACTTCACTATCTTATGTCAATTCGTCCATCCGCACGGCCGTCCACTATGTTTCCATTTTGCAAGCTTTTGTAACAAAAACGTCCCATTAATATCGGTTACATGAACATCCTCGCACATAAACCGACTATCACTACTTACCTCAGACCGCCTACTGGCTCGCGGAGACATTAGTTTTAAATTAAAATACGGGAAACGGATAATACTTACCTGCCAGACGTTTCTGGAATTAATCATCTGTGTGGTTAGGGTCGGTGTGTGCATGTGTTGACGCGTATGTCTGCCTGAGAGTGTCTGTGTGTGTGTGTGTGTGGAGTGTGAGAGTAGCTCGTGGGAGTTAACGGGAGGAGGAGGAGGAGGACCTGGAGCGGCGGCGGCGCGGCGCGGGGCGCGGAGACCGCGAGCGCGAGCGGCGGCGGCGCGGCGGCGAGCGGCGGCGCGCGCCCGGGCTGCGGCGCCGGTACCTGCACACGTACACCACGGTCACACAACCGAAATACTTTAAAAATGGAAACAAGATCGGAAGTTGAGAAATAAAATAAACCACGATTATCAGATAATTGTATTTTAAGCGAGCAACGGGTAGCCGGTAAATAGAATCATGGGCAGACTAGTTCTTTTACCTTCACACATCTTCGTTTGTTGCTACCATTCAAATTTTCTTAATTTTACGTATTAGCGTTGGCGCGTGAAATTTAAAGAAGTATATATGTAATATGAAGATGGTAGTACCGTGGCGGCGAGTGTCGTCGGGGCGGCGCGTGTCTCGGCGGCGGCGGGCGCGGGGACGGGCGGCGCGGCCGCGACGGCACCAGCACCGGCGCCGCCGTGATCTCCTGCCCGTCGATTTGTCCTAACAACCAAACTATTTACAGCGCCGGAAGAATAGTAACTTAGCGTCCCCTCCATAGGAACACATTAAACGATTTAAACTATTGCGTATCATATCGCGCGGCTGAAGAAATTAATATAATAATCCAATGAGAAAGTAAACAAAACAGAAACAAATAAAATTAATAAAAAGTAAACGATGGAAGGGCAAATGTTAAAATACGCAAATACCTACAAATTGCTAGGTCTGGCAACTTTGTTTGAACGTTAGTAATACGTGTTCAAAGTTTAACATTTGAAATTTGCTATTCTGTGTCAGCACACTGTCAAAATTAAAATGTATCCATGATCTAAACTTATCCTAAGCTCAGTACTGTGAGTGCGCATTTTAGAGCATATTTTATATACACGCTTATCATTGTGACAACATAATTAACTACATTATATTGTAAAATCTCTCAATTGTCTTCAATACTGACCTCCATCCATATGCTTCATAGCATTCTCAGCTTCGTCCGGATTACTGAATTCAACATAAGCATAACCACGTCCATTGTGTGGATGCAGTCTGTCCATTGGGAATTCTACTGCCTTTACACTGCCATATGTTGAAAATATCTCATGTATATGATCTCGAGTTACATTCAATGAAAGCCTTCCAATGTGAATTCGTGTCGGTCTAGGGGGAGGTGAACGTTCACGCTTCTTGCGTGCTGGTGACCTGTTAATAAACAAATGGTGAAATTAATAAAATCCTTCAAAGCTCAAGATAAAAAGAAAGAACAAATATTGTTTATTACAGTCAGTAACAAATATTATATTTCAATTTCGTGTTTAACAAATGTGCTAGTGCATTATAGAACCTATTATTACATGACTTGTTAGAGATATACAAAATACAATCAAAATAAAAAAAATCGTCAAACGCACTCAACACATCTGCTTATAGTCTTGCGACTGATCACCAATAAAGTAGAAAAAAAAAACAAAAAGTCACTACCAATAGATTATAAAGGGCCTGTAGTTACCATGTGCAACCTCTCTTTGAAATAATAGGTCTAAATGAAATGTCTTGGATAACTTAATAATGTTGGAAATACTTGTATAGAAAACACAATATATATAATTTATAGGAAACTAGCTGTCACGGGAAACTTTGTTTTGGTATATACCTTAAAATCGCTATTAAAAAATAGGGGTTGATGCTAGAAGGGTGAAAATTTGGGATTGTATGTATTTTTTAATGCCACATTTTATTTATTTATTTATTAGCATACAAAACAGATTACAGTCAATATAATAATATAACTAGGAGCATGTAGTTAGGTACAAAACTGGATTGTAATCCAACACTATGTATGCCTAAGAGCTAAATTATATAGATGCATTCAATATACGCTAGATAGCTAGATAAGGTTATATAATCAAAGGTAAACTAAATAGAAAATGATATATAACTATGTAATGCAATGAATTATTATGTCATATCAACCCTTATTACTTAGGGGTATGAAAAATAGATAGTAACCAATTCTCAGACTTACTGAATATGCATATAAAATTTCATAAAAATCAGTCAAGCCATTTCAGAAGATTATGGTAACTAACATTGTGACTTGAGAATTTTATATCTAAGATGATAACTCCAATAAAAGTGTACACTTACTTCCATCTTGACAAAAATAACAGTATTAAATCCAACAAAATGAAGAGATTAAAATTTTAACCTATGAATAATTTATGTCATAGAATTTTCATATCATCAATAATGTAAAGATGACATACAAAAATTTCCTTTAATGTGCGGATATCAATACTTTATTGATATCCCCTAAATAACTATGTATTCCCATGATGAAAGGACAGGCAAGAATTAGTAAACAAATATGTTACCTCTCATGTTTCTCCTTTGTTTTTATTTTATCATTAGATGGTGCTGACAATTTCTTCTTATCTCCCAAAGGTGACCTGTCTCTTATTTTTTCTCTATCCGGCTCACGTCTATCCTTAACTGGGCTTTTATGGGGCGATGTTCTAAAACATTACAATTGTTTTTACTAAAACTTTATTCATTTTTATGCACTTAAAACTGAGTAAACATAGTAACAGACAACTGTCAAGGTTGTTTTAAAAAAGAAATCATTGTAAATTGTTTTCATATGGAATATATGCAATCATGATATTGATTAATTCAAATATATATACAGATAGTATTTTATGTATTAGAATATACATTACTTCTTCTTTGGTCTGCTACGATCATGGTTGCTGCTGCTACTGCTCGAAGAACTTGAAGATGAAGACGATCTGGAGGAGCTCCCTGAACTACTTGAAGATGAATGTGATGAAGACCTTGATGAACTGCTCTCTGATGAACTGAAAATGTATTATTTTCAAATATTTACATCTATTTTACTGGATATACCCTTTGGTTTTCAACATTATTTTTATAAGTACAATATATGCACCTTAGTGTAAATATTGTATTTTTGTCTTAACCATAGACAAATTGAGATTACTATAAAAATATTATATTTACACTAATATAATACAGAGTGCAAATTATCGCAATATAAATGTCCAGAGAAAATACTTTCCAGAACTAACAAACTAATTTGAAGAATTGTAATAGAAGGAAAGGGTTTTATAATAAAGTTATTAGTATAGTGCCTGGTTGATTTATATGATTACTACTCATATTCCCAATTTTGTTGCGGAATTTCTTACGTCCTTAATAATATAAAAGTCCTAAATAAAAACATAGCAAAAGACGCTTGTTTTTATTAAGTACGCTCAAACTTGAAGAGGTTACAACGCTAACATAACCTAAACATAAACTTGTACTACCTATTGTCCCAATTACTTTAAATATCATACCTGCCACTGCTATCGCTGCTGCTTGACCCTGAATCTCCTTTCTTTTTTTTGTTATATTTATTTACTTTCTTTTTCTCTTTATCCGATGCAGCTGATGGCGATTTATTACGTGCCCTTAAAATAAAAAGGCGAACAAATTACAGAATATTACTGGTGACAAAATCGAAAACAAAATAATTACTGAAATAATACTTACATAATCAACAGTAAAATTGAAAAATAGAGAAAACTCCGACTAAAAATTAGCCGCCGATAGAGAACTTGACTTGAAGAAGAGCGTCATTTACAAAATTCATTTCAAATTACCACAGATTATATAAAGTATCTGTATAGTTATTTTGGCTGTCCACAGATCATGTATAGTTTTATATGATCTGGATCTGGATCTTACAGACATAGAGTAAAATTCTATATTCTCAATACTTATTATTTTGTTAATGTAGGAATTATTGGGATATATATGAAGAAGGCAACTAATGAAACACCATTTTTCTGAGAGACTCGCAATAGTCTTTTATTAATATGTTTTATCTTTTTATATACAAAATATATGGCAATAGAACAGAGGAGTTTTATATCCAACAGGAATTATACGTTTAGCGTTAATATTGTTACCGCTATTATTTATGTTTGTAATGTAGCAGCAGCAGAAAAGGAGATGAAGTTGATAAGTCCAGTGATTGCTATTTACATTATGTATATTAATAAAATATTTACAATTGATATATATACAAGAAGGTGATTCGGTCTCGAATGACAAGCTTGTTATTCTTCTTGCCCCATCGTAATTAGGCAACGGTGTTGCCGCACGATGATAGTAGAACTGATAGTTGTACTGGCCCGTGTCGTAGTTCCTTTGTAGGCGACGGTGGGTACTACGACGGTGTATAGAGTCACGTGGGGCAAGTGTGCGCAGCGGGTAAGTGTACGCACTCGAAGTATTTCAAAAACGGTTTATAGGTATGATAACACCCCTCCTGGAAGCGCACAATAGAAATGCAACTTTTTCAGTGTCCGCCGGTGAACCATTTTGTTTCGTAAGTGAGTATTGTTTTTTGCTTGAAATATTGCGATTTTTGTCTTAAATGAGAGACTCATTCCTTTGTAATATATTTATATTTTGAAATCATGCTTTATACCATCGAACAGTACATTTTATGTAATATAAGCCGTGTTTAATCTTTTGGTGATGACGATTACGTAATATTGCTCAGTTCTGGTTGAATTTTATTTTGATGGTTTGGGGTAAGTGTGCGCATACGAATGTCGGGTAAGTGTGCGCATGCGAATACTTACCTCGCTCCGCTTTGGCTTTGTATTTATGATGCAATTTGTTATTTCAAGTTTAATTATACATAAAAAATGCCCGATTATAAAAGAAACGGATAGAAGTGTTGTCAGAGGAACAGCTAGAAGCTGTTAAAAGATTAAATTAGCAAACGACAGTGTGGCACCCGCAATAAAAAAATGAATATTACGACTGTCATCCATCCAAGAAATACCGAAGTTGGCCTTAGGCATTTCTTGGATGAATGACTGTGATTCAAAATCGGCGAAAGAAAGGCAAAAAGTCAATCATTGATACTTGTAAGTCCTTATAAAGTAGAATTGGAAAAACAAAAAACAAGAGGAAGAATAAATTGCCAAAAAAGAAGATACGACTTGATCTGAAAATAAATAAAATGATGAGCAGGAATTATTTTGCCCACTGTGAGGAGAAAAATACATATTTCCACCGAATGAAGACTGGATCCAATATAGCATCTGTAAGAGCTGGTGGCACGAACAATGCAATAACTTTGAAAAGGAAATATTTGAACTGATGTATTATTAGGTTGAGGATGTCTATTTTCTGGTTTGTCGTATGAGTCTGACTCTATTTACTGTATGTTACATGTTGCGTACACTTACCCGCACTACTGGCCCGTGTCGTAGTTCCAAAGAATTTGTGTAAATGATAATTATTTAGGCGATTATTAAATATTTTATATAATAAACCTTGTTTTGTTCCAGTTAACTTCAAATATTTTATTATATGATACTTCAAACCTTAAGTGCGCACACTTGCCCCACGTGACTCTACAGAAACGGTCAGTCAATAGTGACGGTGCGGTCATCGGTGATGAACTTGAATGGATCACGTCTGGTTGCCGGTATGAATAAGGAATGAAGGAATGATGGCACCTGGACTGGAGTGGGTTCACGCTTTACTGTGGCTGCTGTGCTGGAACGTCGTGGGTCACCAATTTAGCGTCTATATTGTTACCGCTATTATTTATGTTTGTGTTTGTAATGTAGCAGCAGCAGGAAAGGAGATGAAGTGATAAGTCCAGTGATTGCTATTTACATTATGTATATTAATAAAATATTTACTAATGATATATACCTATACAAGAAGGTAATTCGGTCTCGAATAACAAGCTTGTTATTCTTCTTGCCCCATCGTAACTAGGCAACGGTGTTGCCGCACAATGATAGTAGATTCGTTTTATTTTGTCTCCTAATAAAGTATATCAATTGCTAGAAAATTATTAGCAGTACATAATGATGACGGTATCAATAGGAAAAGACGGATCTCACAGGGAAGCATAGTTGGACCTACACTTTTTCTATGTTACATCAACGACTTGAGTCGCTTATCCCTAAAAAATATAATACAATTTCGTTTGCAGATGATACTACCCTTTGTTTTAATGGTGAGTCTTAGTCTGACGTCTTTCAAATTTCTCAAGTGAGAAATTTGTATTCGTAAATTTCTCAGAATTCGTAAATTTATTCATTTTTTCAAAACCATAAGACATTTCGAATATCCTCAATTTATTAAAAATGTATATTATGCACTCTGTCAATCCCTGCTCCAATATTGCATCACCATATGGGGTGGTACTATCAAGATAGCAATGATTGCTCTGGAAAGGGGAGCTAGAGCTCTAATAAAAGTGGCCACTTTCCGTCCCATTAGATATCCTACCTCTGATTTATATCAATCATTCCAGGTACTTACTGTGGCAACTGTATATTTTGAACATCATTCTCAGAAAGCATAAAGCACTCTCTTGTGCTATATTCCCGAGTCTGCAGCGGTTCTATACCTAAACGGAGTAAACAGAATATTTGTAGCATTCTGAAATTTAAAAGCTCATTTATAGAAAGAAACTTTTGCTACCAAGGTTTCCTTCAATATAATAAAAAAAATGTAAACATATAAAAAAAAGGAATGTCTGTATGTAATACTGAAATAACCGTTTTTACTGCTACTACTACTACCGTACTACTTGCATATATGAACAACGGTATATACAGGAAAATATTTTTTTTATAATTTTTGTCTGTCTGTCTGTTTGTTCAAGCTAATCTCTGAATGGATGGACAGATTTTGACGAAGTCGCGAGTACAGCTGGTTATTAATATAAATCTTTGTCCAAAATTTTATGTAACCTGGCTACAAAAGTTAAGCGTAAATACAAAATATACCTAACAACATGTAATAGTATAAAAAAAAATATTGCGTGGTAATCGGTTAATAATGATTTATCTATCTTTAACTGGCTTTATGTATTTTTATTGTTTATGTAATGTTATATATGTTATTGTGTTGTTTAAAAGCAAATGTATACATACTTTCCTAGGATGCATTATTTTTCATTTATTAAAAAATAATGCATCCTGGGAAGGTATATGAGATTTGAGATACAGTATAATTCTATACTAGTTCAGGTGCCACAAACACTCATATGTTCAAATTGTATTTACTCTTATGCAGGTCTGTACAACTTAATTATGTAACACAACCTAAAACTGCAATAATAATTATTATTATTTTTATCCATACATTTTTTATTTATACATATTATATGCAATCTTTTCTGTTTTTATAAAAATATTATAGTTAAAATTAAAACAAAAGAACCCGATATAAAAGTTTTCTTTTCTAATTTAACAGCTATTAATATAATGAAATTGGCCAGCCTTGTCACAATAACCAGTTTATTTGCTTGTACATTACTTTTTTAGAACATCTAGAAAAAAAATAAGACCATAACGTTCGCTTCATGATCACAATTAAAGCATTCAAATTAAGAATGTAATTTATGAGTATGTATTACCCAAACATTAACAATTTTAGATTTTTACCTACCAATCCATGAAGAGGCAGAGGCTTCGAAACAAATTTACGTTTGTTACCAAGTATGGCCTAAAAAACTGAAAGTCAAAATTAATATGTTGCAGTAAAGAGAGGCTGCATAGTTAAGTACTTTCGCAGATCTATAACTAGCAGCAGTTGAGTGGCCCAAATGATTAGCTATAGCCCCCTCGCTGGGCGACACGGCCCACACATTAGCACCACTGGGCTGCCCGTGTTGCATTTATGAGCCCCCACCTACGCTCACTTCGTTCTTTTTTTCTGCTTCCTTTTCATAATATAGGTATAATATTACCAAAATATTTCATACTCGCCATCGATAAATTGTTGACGTAGTACATTCTTTTTCAGAGAAAAATTATATGAAACTATACGAATAATATAAGCACTCTAATATGCATGACATATTAGAGAAGTTAGTGATAAGTATCTCATTAATTTATTATCTTGCTCTTAAGCTATAACTAATAAACGTTTTAATAACTTTCATCGTATTCCTTAGGTTATGGACTAGTACCTATTGCTATTCAGCGGCATACCTACTTGGCACAACAGTAAGTTGGCTCCGATATGAGGATAAAGTTAATTTCGAGCTCGACTTGATATGTACTTACATTTTTTTATACTATGTAAATAATAATACGTTAATATTAACGTATTATTATACCAAATTATAAATATATATATATATATATATATATATATATATATATATATATATATATATATATATATATATATATATATAATTAGAACGTATTGTTGTACAACACAACAAAGAACAACTATCTACTGGTACTACTAACTACCTTATGGTTAAGGTACCACTAGGTAGATAACTTCTTTGTCATTCCAATTACATAAAAAAAATATACGACCACTTTAAACAATTGAAACTATAATGATAGGTAACCTATAGACTATAGAGTTATAATAATTATAACCCTGGACAACGCATACATACTCTTAGTCCTGTAATTTATATATATCATACGCATACAAAGCTTGTGCTATGAGTACTAGAAAATACTTATTTTATTTGTATGTAATTATATCATGTTTTTTTAAGTAGGCTTATTATCAAGAAGTTACCTAGTGTATAGTCTCACTGGGAAATACACAAACACGGTATACAAACACAAATACATTTTTATTATGAATGTTTCAAAACACTTTTAAAAACTTTTCATGATTATGTTTAGTAGCATTTTGAATTTGCTTCTTCAGTCAAGTTGTTCAATGTCATCATCTGGGTATCGGTTGTTTCCGTTGGATGATAATGGAATGGTGCATCCGCCTGCGCTATCGGTTTACACTGGCGGGGCACTACCAGTGGAGAATGAAGTGAAATGAATAATGAATGACTATTAGATGAGCATGAGGTGAGGTCCAGGTATCCAGGGGGAAGGAGGAAGTCGACCTTACATGGTAGGTACATAGGGTATACTAGCAATGGGTATATTAGATCCCATTATTAACACCCCCCCCCTATTTCTAGGGAACTGTTTGGTGTCCCCATTGGATACGAGTAACTTTGTACCTTTAGTTTTATATATATATATGTAAATAGTTTTTAAGATATCTATCATAAATTACAAATTCATTTAACCATTTACATTACCGCTATTACCTTTTGGAATATCCTTTTTTCCATTAGATTATATAGCTATTAGAACTTCGTTCTTTATCTACCACTTTGGCGCTTTTATATAGAACTGTAAGGTTATAGAAATAAAGTATAAATTACATAACAATGTACGTTTCTCTACGGCTACGTAGGTATATGTGGACAAAATAATCCGATTCCGATAGCGGGGTTTTCTGGTTAACAGCTTTTTCATACAATTCATGAATATTTTTCAATAACATACTAATAATAGATAGTTACGACCTATATCCGCAAACGATGATAATAATAGTAAGTACGTTAATGCCAGGGATTAATTTCACAACAAAACATGTTTTATTATACCTACTTCGTAGACAATTGACGAACATATCTATCACTATGTACCTATGAGAGTGGAACCAAAATTAGAAACATTCTAAAATGTACTGAACCGGTTATATTGACTTGTACAAAGACATAGGACAAATCACGACGATATTTATTAACACTTTTATTATGTTTATGAATTCAATTCAACATTTTAGCATAATATACTTTTCATAAATAATACTACAGAATTATTTTAGTCATAAAAGTACCTTAACAAACTAGAATAATTTTATATCGGTGTCTCCATATCGCGGAGCGCAAAAAACAAAAAAATGTCTATAGGTATAATAAAATATATAAAGAATGCCTATTTATTCTAGAACCTTAAAGACTTTACAAAATTATCATTATTGAGTAAAGCAATGATTACAACTTAAATGGAGACCACGCAATATAAAAATATTTTTATTAACTTTGTAGGCGGTTCTCTATATCTCTAGAATCGTTCAACAATTTAGTAATACACACACGTTTGTATTACATATCGAATAGTTGAAAATTTTGCTAATTACAGTTAATTTGTCATTATTAACAAAATATGAATTTTAGTTCAGATATGTAAAATTTGGCAGACAAAATTGATCTTCCCAAATAGAAGATTCGACCTCATACGTCATCCGCTCGCGTGCCACTAATGAGTAGAGTTACATATTTCTATGAAACGCATTCGTGATGTGTCAAAATACATTGAGTAACGCGTGGTTCTCATACGTTGCACTTCTAGATCACTAAGTACCCTCTAATTCACTACCGTATCTCTTGCACTCTTGAAACGAAAAAGATTGCTTGCTTGAATGCTTTATACAAAATGGACCACTATGAAATAGTGAGTCAAATGATAATTTATTTTCAGCTTAAGAGATTTAGAATATACCTATATATCATTTATTGAGACTCCTACATCCAAATATTCATATGAATGAAAATGTCCACAGCTCAGAACCTCCATCGACGCAGGTCATTGTGTGGATAAAAAATCGTTTTATAATTCCAAGTACATAGGTTAGACATTCCGTCGTATACAAATAGACGGTGCATAAGCTATAAAAATATATAGATACAAAATTGATTACTATTTTACAAATTTCGTGTAGTTATTAACGTATATCTAAAAGCGACTAATTATCAATTTAACAAGTTTAACCAGAATCTTGTAAAAATTTGAATCTTTACAAAATTTATTATAAAACAATTTCGTATAAAATATGGTAAGTTCCATTGACCATGGAATCCGTAAAGCAATAGATGAATACGTCAGTATACTTTGTTAATTCCTAGGATGTTATAAGACCTAATAGAGGAACATAAGTTCAAGTAACTTGACCAGCTTGTTTAAGGTATTAGGCAAGCCAATATTCTTCTTTTCTAGGGAAAACTTGTGCATATAACTTTACGTACTTATAATATGCTTACAGATAAAACATAACGGAGTTTTATGGGACAAAGAATTAAAAATTGGTTCTATAGGTACTTTTGTCTATGTACCTATATACTAGACTTGAATTATTAAGTTATGACAATAACTCTGATAACAATAAAATAGTTTCTAAATTTTTATCTATGTAAACTTGAATTATTAAGTAATTACAATATTAAATAACTATGATCATAATTAATAAAATGGCAAACTCCACGATCATAATTGAGAAATTTTGTTATTCAATAGAAATTGTCTCAATTTATTTCAGTTCGCACCCCCACAAATTCTCCTTTCTTCAAAAGTTCGCCAAAAATGCGTAAATCTGTATACTAGCAACAGGCTGTTACAAGTCGCTGACACATATTACCCGTCGGGCTTATAAAGCGTCCGGCCAGAGCGCGGAGCCTAAACATCCTTCCGATTTAACGCGCGACGCCGCCTCTGTGCATCGCTCCTGCGAAACCATCCGGTGAACAGAGCGTGGCAGTTCTTATACCTGTGGAAACATTGTTTACTTTCCAACAACTACATTAAATACTGAGTGATTTTATGATACTTGTAAGTATTTTTTATTAATTAGTTAATGACTTTTATTCGTAAATTATATCTAACAATAATAAAAATATTTAAATATATTCAAATGCATTATTATGTGTTATTAATTAAAGTAGATACTTTTATGAATAACACATTACTTTTGTTATGTAACACTAATAATATAAAATGTAACAACATTTATTACGTTACAATATTAGGAGTATGACGCAATTAGGTATATTATAAAAAATATTATAGATAATTGAAAAGTACAATAAACAGTTTTATTATACATATAATATATTTTTTTAAAAGTAGTTCTTCAAAATATATATCTGGTAATGATTTCTAGTTATACTACGAGTATTTATTACAGTAGAAAACACCCTAATAGTCTGAAGGATACCTTCTAGGAATTAATTGAAGAGCCGAGACAAAATAAAAATTACATTACCCGGTTATATAACCTGCGTCCCAGCGTATGCTCATGGCACGCTAGGAATCTCTATACAATATTTGATAGTAAATGTTATAATGTTTTGCTTTGGTTGTAGAGAAATTTAGATTTCTAAAATAAGTACCACGTCATTAAAGTTCTATCATTCGTTTCTAATTTTACAGGGCTAAATAAATTTATTTATATTTTTTCCCCTACGTCACTGATTATTGTTGCATAATTTGTAGAGCAATATTAGCTCACAAATCTAATTTTAATTTAGTGACTTCAATAAATATAAAACTACAGTAATATTGCATCTCTTTATCTTGCAAATACTGAAGTTAAGTTTATTAAAGAATAAAAGCGTTACGCATATCTAGGACACTGATGAGATTAAAGGCATGTCTGTCGAGGGGAAAGATGGGTATTATGGTAATAAAATACTTAACAGTATCCTTAGAATACGTCCACATATATGAAATATAGTAACAAATTTCTCTGATGCATTTGTATAGTGAACGAGATATTGTACATACCTACTAACTCAGGTTCTTAACAAATTTTTATACCTCTAGATAAAGTAAAATATTTAATGTTATTTTTAGGGGTCTCTATAACAAAACGTAAAAACGAAAACTTTGTCGGATCTCTTTCTGTAGAACGACTAAAATTTCTGAACTGATGCTTCTAAACAATTATGGTCTATGACCAAAGGTTTTATATTAAATATATTGCAATTGACGAACGTTTCAGCTATTTACTATCTATAGTTGGACTTTGGTCTCATCCATCTCATAATAAAAACATCCTAATCCTGAGATCTCAAGAGCTATCACCGATATTTATAATTTAAAAAAATCTATCCAGGGAATTCGTGTGATGTCAAACAGAAGATGATGTGCGGTCCGGTTCCACTGCTGCTTGTGGTGATATCCATGGCCCTCGCCGCCCCTGCCACTTTATATGATGATACTCCAGTGAGTATAATGACTGATACATTCAATTTCATATAATTCATATAGTTTTATTTTATATGTGTATAGGTAAAAGGAAATGTATACAATAACTATATTAGGAAACTATTGACAAGACAGAATTGAAGAATTTAAAAGAACTATAAATTTAAATACAAATTTAGAATAAAAAATAGATTTCCCATTACCCAGATACATCAATAATTATGTGAGGTTGGTCGTCTAGAGCGTGATTGGATCCTTCTCTGCATTGCAAGAATAGGAAATGTTAAATATACGAACGACATCAAGAGCAAATACACTGTTTTATGCAGTTCATATATATTTGCCCCAGTTGCCGTTGAACTCAGTAACAATAGGGCTGGCTCTTTTCTCGCACAATGATTTGATTTAGCGATTCAGCAAAGAAATGCAGGTAGCCATTTTATATATAAGTCATTAGTTAGATTTAGTCACCTTCTCGCCAAATCGGATGCTATATAATGTGTCTTTTGGAAAATGTTACATAAGTTACAGTCGTTATAGATTTGTCTACAATAAACAATATTTTACTTATTGTTAGACCTTTTAAAACTCTTCTGTAAAGTTGTAATATTTGTTAATAAACGTGCTTGATTCCAAAGTTTTGTAAGAACACTATATTATTTATTTCTGTCAAGAAAAATAGAAAAAAGACATTCAAACGTACGTCTACCCTCTAAATTGAGGGTTGTTAATTAGAATCGCCAATTATGTATCACGTACTGTATTTAATATATAAATGGATCGTATATAAATAGAACGACACAGGGGGACACCGACTTATATTAAAATAATAAATTAATATAGAAAACCAATAACAACCAAGGTACATATATGCACACAATATACATATGTATTACCATTGTAATACACAAACTTTGAACGCTTGTTGATGATATCCACTAGTTTTATATGAAGAATCAGAAGCAACAATATTTTTTTTTATCTTTAGGGATTACTATATACTTCATTGTATTGGGAGTTCCCTGTTAATAGTATGATAATAGTGACAAGTGAAGCCATTGCTAACAATGTATCATGTTAGGTTGATTTACACATGGTTCCTAAAACTGCCTGGAAACTATTGTGGTGAATTTGTCACAGTGGGCTAACCCGATCTCAAGCTCATCTTATCATAATCCATTTTGTGTTTTTTGCATAAATTACCTTTACCGTATAAATAAAACTTCTGTATAGGATCTATACTCGTATCCCAAATGTTACATAAAATGAAATTATTTATAATCTTATAATAGACAGATAGATAAAAAATTTATTCATGTTATAGGCACTGTCATATTTATATATTAACAACAAAAATAAACAATATACTAATACACTAATAACAAAAAAATACTATACAATACAGATATACAGATAAAATAAAATGCAATACAGGTGCAAAAAAGAAAACGGTATGAGTAACGTTGTGTGTGTGTGCATAGCCCTTTGCAACATTTTCAGGTATAATATAAATATTTTCTATAACTAATATATAATAATATTCGTATTACTAGGTGATAGTACCACAAAAGAGAGCAGCTCTGGTTCTAGACCGGCTGCTGATAGCGCTACAGAAGGCGTTGCAAGACGACGTGGAACCGCGGCGTAATGAGCAATCTGGGCGCGGCTGGCCAAGAACAGCACCACTCCGCCTCGATACCAATAACATTGGCGATATGGTAAATATGTTTTATTATACTACGATAGGCGTGTACAACGAAATACTACGACACCGAGGAATACACTTCAATTACTCTACCGCCACACATGTCACAATGTATTTTTTCTTTTTATTTTATATTTTTGTCATTAATGACTAACTCTGTGGTTTCACAATACTTCATCCTACGTGGTTATTTTTAGTAGAGTTCAAATTTGGAACAGCATTTTTTATTTATTTCAACAAAATTCTTAATTTAATAAAGTTTTGAAGTGTTTTTTAATAAAAAGCTATTACTTTTTCATCTGTTTTAATTTGTAGTACATGCGATAAGAATACCTTTTAGTTATCGCTCCACAACATTTTATATAAAAAATATAGGTCGTCACAAATTTTTCAGAGAACGTAGTATACATAATTAAAGGCTAGCATATGAAAATCTCTTTAAAAGTGGTCTAGTCTAGTCAGCTGTGGTCTACTTTGAAGTACGTGGTCGCGTTCCAGAAAAAAATATTGGAGCTGAGCCGCGTGCCGGGCTATGAGTTACCCGTCAGCGCCGAGCCACGTGACGAGATACTCCGCCTCGCCAAAGAAGATGATATGGTGATTATTCAATCGGATTAGTGAAGTTATTTGAACATATATAAATACTTAATATATTTTTCAAAGGCGGAAAATAAAGTGAACGATCATCATAATTACTATGTCTTGCTCGAATTACAATATCTATTTTTTGTTTTGAATATGCCCTTTAAAGTTTAAATAATCATGGTAAAATGAAGACAGAAAATCACCTCAAAGTAATTATTTTGTTATAGTTTAAATAATTATGTTCTGATATTTTTTGTTTACACGATATCTTACGTATACTTTTAATTAAGATTTTGTTTTAAATTAATTATGAATAAACACTCTACAGAAATGACGCTACAACAACACTTGTTTCATCTTGAGAGTCTTTTACGCATAAAGTTGGATAATTTTTTTATTTAGGTACGTGTTTAAATTTTTAATGAAATCCTACTTCTTTAATAATTTACATCTATATTTTCTTTTTTACTGAATATGACGACGTCGACTTTATCGGATTAATTAATAAGATTAAATAATTAATTTTGATAAGAGTTACTTGTAATAAAAAATATAAGATATTTAGACTAACGTCTGTATATTTTATCTGGTAGGCATAATTAAATCCTTCATAGTAGTGAAAAAATGTTAAATTTTATAATACCTACAAATATGTATTCTGGATCAATTGGCTCTATCATGAAATGTAACCATATCAATTTGTGAACGGCACATATAATATCTATGCCAAAAACACAGAATGACAAATCCCCACCAAGAAGTGGAACAACATATAAATTATTAATATAATTACTTCGTTCTTAAATCGTATATATAGCGTATAAAAAAACTGTATTTGATACATTTAAGATTATGCCATTGTAGTTAATAAATTGGTGTAGCTAATAATATATAAAGATATATCTAGGTATATATACCTAATTGGCTTATGAACATATACAAAAAAGTTTGAAAATGGAACCTTTTATAGTGTATAATTCATATTTTATTTTCTAAATACTACGTATAGTCCTCACACACTACGACACAGCTAAACCTACAATATATATCACAAGTCAACTAACTATATTCATGTAAATTACATACGCAAACCCTTCCAAGAAAAAATCTTCAAATTGTAGTAAAAACCAAATCAAAATACATATTGTTGTTTAGAAGAAGAGGGCGGAAAACATACAGAATAGATATACTTTGATTCTATATATTGTTAAATAGATGTGTACTCAAATGTCTTAAATATTTTGTTACAAAATTTATGTAAATTTTTCATGATTATATTATATTATGAAAACGCCTACAGGTATATTCATTAACTGGTTCATATACCTACAGGAAATAAGCGTGCTAATAAACCACACAGTTAATCAATGTTTACATAAGCAAAGTTGTGGGCTACTGAATATTAGGTATACGTTGTTTAGAAAAAAAATACACGTTGTAGAGAGGTTATACAAAGTTATGTATACGAACGATGTAGCTAATTCTATGCCGCGCGTAGTAACGTCTACGCTTTTACTACGTATTGCTACAACGCTACGCTCAATATACATGTTATTATCTAATGTGAGAGTGAGGGTCGTGATGGTTTACTCTATTATTATAACAATCCAAGAAGACATGACATCAAATTGGGACGACACTAAAATAATACTCTGTGTCTATTTATATTTCTGAACCCCCGTGAACAAAATACCGATTTAAAAGTATAAAATAGTCCGAGAGACAGTGTGCGGCTATAAGCTAATAGTTAGCTACTAAGTAACTAGAAAATGGATTGTTAGAACAACAATAACAATTTGTTTGTATTAAAACAAATTGTTATTGTTGTTTAATGAATGACTTCAACGCGATTCCCTATGAATTTTGGTGATGAATTTGTTACGATCGGCCAACTGACCTGTCTTCTTGCTCATCCTATCATCCTGTTGCTCTGTCAGCGTAAATTGTTAGAGCAGGCCATTAATTCATTTAAAAGAATAAATTGATAGTACGAACGTAATATTTTTAGTAATAATGAATGTAACATTGTTTTGTTTTCAGACTGGGTTACAACGGCGCGGCCAGGCGGGCCCGGGCCGGGGCCGAGTACTACGGTGCTATTTCAACGCGGTTACCTGTTTCTAACTAAACCGCATATATGTATACGTTTTATTATTATTTCAATTATACAATAGTCGCCGGCGATGTACTTTGTCATTGTTTGCATAATTTTAACATTAGAACTTTATTTAAAATATACACATAAAATGTATATTAAAGTTACATTTTACACAAAATGATGATTTTTGATTAAACATCAATATGTTTTACTTTTCGCTAGAGAAGAGTTAGCAATAATACTCTTCTCTAGCGAAAAGTACTGCATTTAAGTAATTAAATACATCAATCGACGGTATGAAATAACATGCTAACAACTTTCAATAAAACAATCATTAATATTTAAACAGTCTTATTATTTTTCCTAAAACGAACATCTGAAACTTCAAGATACAGTATTTTACCCTGTTGATATAACGATTAAATTTACCATGAGAATTTATGCGAATATACTCATATTTTTGCAAAAACTGAACGATTATCGAAAATTTATTTTTAGGTATGATCCAAAAAAAAAGTTTAGCTCCTCGTAATATTGCCTCATTTATTACCAACATGGTTATAATATAATAATAGTTGACTGTTTTTGTTGTAGTTTGTTTATATTTTGTTATAAGAGTATATTAATAGACAAATATAAACAAAAATATACCACACAATTTAATTATTATAATGTGTACCTTCCTGCCGACCTTTCTGCAAACTTTGCAAAAGCTGCACGATACTACAACATATTATATATATGTTGTAGTATTGTGCCGCTTTTGCAAAGTCAGTATTCAAAATAAACAAGGCAAGTATTCATCTTGATCTCCATAAACAAAATATTTGTTTACGTTATGTTTACAAGCTTAGTAGCTGAGCATAGTGAACTTATTCATAAAAGCCTTCTTAGCTTTCTTTAGCCTTCTTAGCCCAAACCCCATTTTTTATACAACTCTTTGGCTTAAATCTATAACTATTTCATAGTAATATATCATATCTAAAGCGATGACTCTATTTAAAGGACACCGTAACAACCAGGCAAACCGTAACAAAAAGGAGTCAAACCAGTAACGTAAGGTTAAAAACCCTTTATTATCCAACAAGCAAACATTCCGCTGTTTTCTCAGATGGGTTAGTCAGAGGTATTGTTATGATTATGATTGAACTAAGGAATTCTATGTCGTAAAAAACTTTATTTTTATCTCAAAGACTACCGACATCTACTAGGAGAATATAGAAATACATAATATAAAGACTTGTTATTAGAAATAGGTTTCATTTGCGGAAATCTGCCATTTGGTGCTTTGAAATTCTTTCAGATGCTTCGTTCTAAGAGTAAAGCAAAAAATACACTAGATGGCGCCATGTCAGGGCATATGTTTTTATTTCGCAGCATCCTACCACGCTTGATCATGTTCTGCAATGTTAAAAAAAAAATATTGGGAGAGAATAGATACGATAAATAGGTATTTCATATTATATTTGTACTTTATGAAGTAACTATCTACTCTATAAAGTAGTATAAAATCACCAACACTATGAAGCGTGGTCCTGAATTCGATAATACAATTTTAAGTATACGATGCTACTTATACCCAAGGTAAAGCTAAATAACTGGCCTTATAAGGAGTATGACCTTCCATTGTTCCTTGTGAGGCCAGTTATTTATAAAACAAACAAATAATGTTTTAGAATACAGTTTATTCCATAATTTGAATTTAGTCGCATTACACTGAGAATAGAATATTACGTAGAGTAATAGTAAATTATATTACTACCTACCTATGTCATAATTAATTAATTATGTACCTAATTTGAACTGAATCAGATGGCATCAACTGTTTGAAATTTGCAATTCGTTTAGTTGAACAAATAGAACCGACACACTTACGAAACGAAGAAAGTTACGTCTCGGCTTATAAAAATTAAGCGTACCTTCATATAAAATCAAAGCATTGTTTAAACAGAGATATGACATTCGAATAGCTTGGCCGGCTTTTGTAGTGTGGACGAGTGGTTGTTTGCAGCTAGCCACCACCACACTACACTTTTGTTCTAGCAAACAAAGGTGGCGTAGTCGTATATACATATTAATTCAGCGTTTCACGCGTTGCCGGCGGCAGCGCGCCTGTTGGCACGCCTGAATGCTTCCGTAAATGTGGTTATCTGGATTGACATAATATCTGTGATTTAATAAATATAAAATGGCTGATATTTGTTTTTATCGGAATGGTCGAATAATTGGTACAGCGTATACGAGTGACTATATGGGATTGTTTTTATTTAATTGAAAAAAAAAATAAAACAAACACTGAAGAAGCCAAAAATATACCAAAATAAATTTGGAGTTTTTGAGGTTTTTGTTAGCTGTCAACCGTTTTAAATCAATTAAAAAATCCAGATAATATTTGTCCACAAACGAATAAAAACAAAAATTTAATCATAGTTAACTATAACCACAGATAAGGTAATATTACAACTATTAGTATTAAAGTGAAATCAATATGGAATATTCATCAAAATTAGTATACTGTAGTAGTAATACATATGTATTTAGAACAAGCATTGCTTATGTAAGTACTTTATTACCAACTCGTGACTCTCTTGTATACTAAAGCAAAACCGTTCCGTTGGTAATTATAGACTAATTGCTAACGCCCCGTGGCAGTGTAATTGCAGAGGTAGTTCGGATTTAGAGAGAGAATACAAATCTACTTACCTAATTATAAATTTCCATGAAAATTATGAAAAAATGATTTTTAAATTATATATCTATCAGAAATGTGACATTACAATTTTATTTGATTGTATACCACCACACAAAATATATTATAGTTCTTCCCGCGGTTTAAATATTAACTTAATCAACAATACGAATCGAACTTAACATTTAGAAATAGAAATTAACTTAATGTATTTTAATTTTTGTAAGTAAATATTAATGATAACATTCAAATATTTTCACACAGGACACAAGTTTTCTCATTTTTCATAATTCATTGTTAATAACTACTACCCAGAGTTATGCCCAAGATCGTGAAATCAAATCTGGGCAACACTAAAAAAAAAGACTGTATGTATATATTTATAACTAACTCTCAGGTCGAGAAAACATCGATATGAAACCAAAAAAGAAACGAAAAGATACTAGAGCGTTTGCCCCTGCCACCTTGGATTCAATATACAAGCGACAAGTGGGCATGTCAAGTATCGTGTTTACCACAACATTAACAGTGTATAATACCTCTGGCTACACCGTCTGGGTTAACAGCATTTTTCCAATAAACCAAGACCAACCAGCAGTCTTACTTGTATAGGATATCTGTTCAAGTTTATCTTTCATTTCACAGACGTATTGTGTTTCGCTCTTTTGTAGCTGACGACCTGAGAATAAAAGAGTACGAAAATTAAAAAGAGGTACACAGATTTGTGTAGAAAGAAATGTCGTAACAGTATATACTTTGTAGATCAATATTTGTTAGTAAATTATTTTACTATTATTGCACAGAATAAGTATGTCAATATTTCGATTCCAATAACCTGAAGCTTATATTTTCGGACTGCTCTAATGCTGTTTGACGCAGCTGGCCTAAACAGCTTCACCGAACGATAGGGGGCGAGTGCAAATGGTACTCCAAAGGCGCAGGACTTATGGAGCGGCTGAAGGAAACGACTTTAGTCTGAGGGCACCGCTAGCCATTCGAACCTTGGCTCAGGCCATCGTAATTTTGATCCCCGATTGAATTGGACGGGGGATCGATCGGAGTAGCAAGAAAATTACATAAAAACTAAGTACCTACTTCAGCATTTTTCAATATTATAAAAATTACAGTAATCTACAGTAGAACATTATGAAAAGAAAACTAGAAAACCTTGTATTATATAATATATATGTAAAAATATTTCTATTACAACTTCCAACCAAACAATTTTATCTCGATCCAGTACCTAAAGATAACTCGTCCAGCAATTCGAATTCATCTGAACTTTTCCCAGTCACGATCATTATAATAGTGGGCGACTGTGATAGTGAATATGTACTGAATGTTGGACAATTTAGCTTCTATATAATTGCTATTCATAAATACCTAACCATGATTGCTATGACCAATATGGATGAAAAGATAAAATAACTCGTAATTGCTTGGGATATACGAAAAAAAGTAAGTTTCCTCCTTTTTGTTCGTAAATTCAGCTAACATTTATTATTTCCAATTTAATCTTACTCCTATAGGACCTGACCAATCATTATAGGTATATGTAATAAATCCATATATGTAAAATAAATATTGTTATGTAATAGGTATACATAAATAAAGGTATATAGTATATATATCATATATTGTTAGTAAATATTGCGTTTATTTGTTACCGTGTGTGAGACAACAACTACAAAATTCCAGCTACATACATACTGTTGCGTGTATTCAGGAGACTACTGCCTTTACCAGAAACGTAGTCAAAAATTTTAACAACTAATGTTCTTCAGGTAAATTACGCGATCCTTGTTACTGTTTAAAGATCTTTTAACTTTTACCGGAAATTCGATCCCTCTCCTAAAATCAATAAAGATTTCAATATAATATAATGTCCAACAGACACATCCAACTGAGAACTCCGACCTAGGTTAATGGCCACAAATCCAAGACACGTTCAAAAGAGTAATTTCAGCCAAACGTATTCGGTTATCCTATGATTTCTTTTGTCTTATATGATAATTATTATTATACTCAAATGATAAAATTGTTTGATATAGTACATTTACGGGGGATTAGGATATCCACAAGCCTACATTGTGACTCGTATTTATAGAGACTCCTGTATATATATTTTTTATTAATGAAAATTGGTCTTTGCATAAAAAATTGTTTCATCATGCCAAAGAGGTTAAACATTTTGCTGAATAATATTAGGTATATATGAGTTCGGCTATGTAATAAATGTATAAGTGAGATATTGTTTGCATTATTTTAATAATGAAAATATGTTAAATAATATTATAAATATAAACGTGCGAACATCGTGACTTAGTTGTTTAAATACCTCGACGTAAAGATCCCAAATCGATATATAAGTCGGTGTAGTTCGTGAGTTCAATTTGGCCATCATCGTAAAAATAATGTATATGTACATATGTATACTCGTACCCGCCAGCACGTCATATAAGACAAGTCATAAGGAAGTAATAATATTCATGAAACTGTAAAATTCCCCGAAAATAGCAAATTTGAAAAACTATTTAAAATATATATATCATCTATTTTGTAAGATAATTTGAATATCTATGTTTCCACTTTTTTATTT